GCCTAAACTCCATCTTAAAGAAATAGAAAACAAAAACACTTTTTCAGGGCATTAAAAAATACCAAGTTTCTCATCAAAATCTACAAGGTACCATGTGAAATGAAACGCATGAAGACAACAATGAGAAAACTGTAGCCACAACATAGAAAAATAAGGGCTGTGATGCATACATAGCTGGAATACACATAATACGAACAAATCTGAAGAAAATGAAAGCAGCATTTTTTTTTTTTTTTTTTTGAGAGGAGCCAGAGACGGAATCTCTCTGTCGCCCAGGCTGGAGAGCAGTGGCGTGATCTCGGTTCACTGCAACCTCTGCCTCCCGTGTTCACGCCATTCTCCTGCCTCAGCCTCCCGAGTAGCTGCAACTAGAGTAGCTGGAACTACAGGCCCCCTCTACCATGCCCAGTTAATTTTTTGTATTTTTAGTAGAAACAGGGTTTCACTGTGTTAGCCAGGATGGTCTCCATCTCCTGACCTTGTGATCTGCCCACCTCGACCTCCCAAAATGCTGCGATTACAGGTGTGAGCCACCGCACCAGGCCAGCTTTTTTTTTTTTTTAAAGGCAGAGTCTCGTTCTGTCGCCCAGGCTGGAGTACAGTGGTGCAATCTCGGCTAACTGCAACCTCCACCTCCCGGATTCAAGTGATTCTCTGCCTCGGCCCCCAAAATAGCTGGGATTACAGGCACCCACCACCATGCCCGGGTAACTTTTGTATTTTTAGTAGAGACGGGAGGGGGGGGTCTCACCATCTTGGCCAGGCTGGTCTTGAACTTCTGACCTCGTGATCAACTTGTCTTAGCCTCCCAAAGTGCTGGGATTGTAGGTGTGAGCCACCATGCCCGGCTACATTTTTTTTTTTTTTTTTTTTTTTAATTCCAGCAACACTCAGCTTTGCAGCCTAGAAAAAGTGTCCTCTCCACATAAAAAATCAGTTTTATTTCTTCACCACTATTTTCTATCTCTGACTTGAAGTTCAAACCAACTTTAGCAGAAATGTTTATGGCTTTTTCTGGAGCATGTTACACAGCAAGAACTGCTATATATGCTTTCCACATTTACATATAAAAACATCTTCATGACTTACTAAGCTTCCCTTGTATTTACCTGAACAATTTGACTCCATAAATAAATTTACTTATATCAATTATAAAAAGCAAAAAGAACAATAACTAAAGAATAGTAAGCTTATATACAGTTCTCCAATTGAAAACAAAATGGAGTGTTCTAACTAAATAAAATGTAACAAAATACTAATTGTGGAATTACATATAAAAATTATTTTGTATGGACTACATTTCATAAAAATTATTCTTATAGTCACATTCCAGCTCATATAATGAATATTTCATAAACTACAAAATATAAAAAACACAAAAAAATAGAGGTCTGTCATGAGTACCAGGCAAGTATAAACAGATAATTTGCATCGGGAGACTTGGAAGCATAAGGCATAGATTATACAGTAATAAATCCAATACAAAGTAGAGAGTATACGTTTGCTTTTGGCATTTTTGAGGTTTTTAGTTTTCTAGTAGTCACCTTGTTAAAATGACCTGCTTTGTTCCCATATTGCTTTTTTTTCTGAAAATGGGTACAAACTCATACTCCATAGTTTTCTTACAGCTAAGGTTTATCTTTAGACTAATATATATTTAACTATGTAAATCAAAACTAAAAGTCTGTATGTGTTTGCAGGCAGACAGGCCACATGTTCAAAAATATATGTAAGAAAAATTTAATATTTATTCAGGACTCAGAAATGTATGGATTTTATTTATACTTGTAATTTTAATAATATTTATTCAGGACTCAGAAATGTATGGATTTTATACTTGCGTATTTTTTATTATGACCATAAAAATAACTCTGTGACCAATAACAATTGTGCATTTTAAAATAACTAAAAGTGTAGAACTGGATTGTTTGTAATACAAAGGATAAATGCTAGAGGTGATGGATACCCCATTTGTCCTGATGTGATTATATATTTTACTCCTGCATCAAAATATGCATAAATATGGCATAAATATATACTCATATTAGGTACCCACAAAAAATTTTAAAAATAAATTGAAATGATTGAAAAAGAAAAATTTAACCTACAGAAACAATATTCTTTAACTAATTTGTGGTTTAAACCCACTGACAAAAGAGATTACTTCAGATGTTAATCCAGGCGCAGTGGCACGATCTCAGCTCACTGCAACCTCTGTCTTCTGGTTTTAAGTGATTCTTCTGCCTCAGCCTCCCAAGTAGCTGGGATTACAGGCGCCAGCCACCACGACAGGCTAATTTTTGTATTTTTAGTAGAGACGGGGTTTCACTATGTTGGCCAGGCTGGTCTCGAACTCCTGACCTCGTGATTCATCCGCCTCAGCCTCCCAAAGTGCTGGGATTACAGGCGTGAACCACTGCGCCTGGCCCCTTATTGTTATGATCTTTCATCTATACCCTTAAGTAAAGTGGAACAGGTTAAGGTTTGTGGCAATAATAACACTTCATTGAATGCACAATAGTATTTAACATGTTAAAAATATTGGATTAAAATATTAACTTCACACATAATCTAACATTTTTTAAATATACTGGATTTTATTATACAAAAGTACAATTAGTACAATAATATACTAATTTATTTTCATTTAAAGTAAAATTAAAAGTTTTCTTCTCATAATGCAAAATCATATTACTGTGAACACCTACCTAATGCATCATTCAATATAAGTTAACCACAAAGAGCCTCTTCACTTAATTTTTCATCATGCATCTTACATTTTAATGTCCTTACTCTTTCATAGAGAAGATCATAATGGCCACTTAATAAAAAAGACTCTCATGTTTTTAATGCAGCAATAACTGAGCACATGCTTTCACACGTGAATACAACTGAAATAAACAGTAGGAAATATTTTGAGAGTTGAACTACATCATTATTTACAAAAAAATCTGTAATTTCTTCAAGAAATAAAGTATACTTTGAACATAATAACTCTGCAAAAAACCCTTCTACTCCTTTTAAAGTTATATACAAATAATTTTTCTACCAACTTTAGTTGTTGCTCTTTTTTCCTTTTTTTTTTTGAGACAGAGTTACGTTCTTGTTGCCCAGGCTGGAGTGCAGTGGCGCACTCTCGGCTCACCACAACCTCCGCCTCCCAGGTTTAAGCAATTCTCCTGCCTCAGTCTCCCGAGTAGCTGGAATTACAGGCATACACCACCACACGTGGCTAATTCTGTATTTTTAGGAGAGCCGCGGTTTCTCCATGTTGGTCAGGCTGGTCTCAAACTCCTGACCTCAGGTGATTCACCCACCTCGGCTGCCCAAAGTGCTGGATTACAGATGTGAGCCACTGCATCTGGCCCCAACTTTAGTTTTATTTTCTATACTCAGCACTCTGATTTAGTATATCTGCAGTGTCAGTGCCTTATATATTTGTACTGTAAATTCTCTGACATTTATACAGATTTAATTTTGGTTAAATATTTTCATTTTTACTGCATCTGCAAAAATATATTTTAGTATGAACTCTGGTGTCTTCTAAGCTGTACTTTTTGAAAAAGTGTTTAAAATTTATTAAATTTGCAAGGTTTTTCTTCAATATAAATACCCTGATGTTGAACAAACTTTGAGCAACTACTTCAGTTTTCTTCTAGTACAAAATATGTACAACAAAATCTGTGATACAAATAAAGGTACTACAACCCTCTTCACATTTGTAATGTTCATCTTCAAAATAAATACCTTCTTCACTTTAAAGGTTTGTATTTCCTGAAAGATCTTTTGAGGGTAATTGCACTTATATTCCTTTTATTAAGTATGAACTCTCCAGTGGTAAGATGTGAATAGATATTAATGGCTTTTTCATGGTCTTTATATTTGTACAGTTTTTCTCAAGTATAAATGCTCTCCTGTGCAATAAGGTGTGAGCATTCGTTAAAAGTTTTGCCATCGTTCACACTTGTAGTTTTCTTCAGCATGAACTATCTTACCTATAATCAAGTGTGACAACCATTTAAAGGCTTTGTCACATTCTTTACATTTCTAGGATTTCTCACCAGTATGATTTTTTATGTTTAAAAAAGTTTTAGTTGTTGTCAAAAGCACTGTCACATCTTTCAAGTTTGTAGAGTTTCTTTTCAGTATGAATTATCTTTTTTTTTTTTTCTTTTTTCCTGAGACAGTGTGTTACTCTTTACTCTTGTTGCCCAGGCTGGAGTGCAATGGCACGATCTTGGCTCACCGCAACTTCTGCCTCCCGGGTTCAAGCAATTCTTCTGCCTCAGCCTCCCGAGTAGCTGGGATTACAGGCATGCACGACCACGCCTGGCTAATTTTGTATTTTTAGTAGAGATGGGATTTCACCATGTTGGTCAGGCTGGTCTCGAACACTCGACCTCACGTGATTCACCCGTCTCAGCCTCCCAAAGTGCTGGGATTACAGGCATGAGCCACTACACCCAGCCCATGAATTATTTTATGTCTGGTAAGAATTGAGGACTTGTTGAAGGCTTTGCCATACTCTTCACATTCATAGGGTTCCTCTTCAGTATGAATTTTCTTATGTTTAGTAAGAATTCAGGACTGGTTAAAGGCTTTGCCACATCTTCACATTTGTAGCGTTTCTCTCCAGTATGAATTACTTTGTTCAATAAAGTTTGAGGACTGGTTGAAAGCTTTGCTGTATTCTTCACAGTTGTACGGTTTCTCTCCAGTATGAATTACCTTATGTTTAGTAAGAGTTGAAGACTGGCTAAAGGCTTTATCACATTCTAGATATGTGTAAGATGTATCTCCAATATGAGTTATCTTATGTTTAGTAAGGTTTGAGAATTGGTTAAAAGCTTTGCCACATTTTTCACATTTGTAGGGTTTCTCTCCAGAATGAATTACCTTATGTGCAGTAAGTTTTGGGGACCGGTTAAAGGCTTTGCCACATTCTTCACATTTGTAGGGTTTCTCTCCAGTATGAATTATCTTATGTGCAGTAAGTTGTGGGGACCGGTTAAAGGCTTTGCCACATTCTTCACATTTGTAGGGTTTCTCTCCAGTATGAATTATCTTATGTGCAGTAAGGTTTGAGGACTCATTAAAAGCTTTGCCACATTGTTCACATTTGTAGGGTTTCTCTCCAGTATGAATTCTTTT